AATTCATCATTTTCGACACACTTCGCTATATGGATCTCTACCAAGCCACAACGTGGTTCGAGCCATAAGCGGCATTTCCCTTATTTAGATCTTGATGTTAGCTTCCACAGTACGGCTTTGGAATGGCTCAATTGCTTCTGCTTTAGTGACTTCTATCCGGGTGAAAAACTTCGTCCAAGGAGGCCACCTGCCTTGGATTTGGACCTACTGTGTTCCTTTGATTAAAACCAATACGTACAAATCAACTTGCTATCTATTCCTTACACTTGACTGGTCCCAAAGCACAAATGAGAGAAGGCCTCGCTCCCTTAGAAAAGTTATGAAGTTCGATCAAAATTTTTCTCATGAGTTGACCAGTACTCCAAGGGGAGCACATGTGGGTACTGTCTACACTTCTCTCCCTCTTCCGCTGTACAGGCTGGTTGAACAGCACTGTAACTGGATATGGAGTGGGTGCCTCTAGTTGAATCACTCCTGGGGGCGCAGCGGCTAGATCCCCAGAAAGGGCAGAACCGATCGCGCAATCCTATCAATCCAGTAGGGCGGTGAGGCTGTGTATGTGGTGGGGTACCTTTCTCCGCTCTCGAAACGGAATTCCTCCTTCCAACGCTATGGTAACCAGGGAGCCCTATTGTAATCAACTGCAAAGTGGGGTGGAAAATCTCTACCATTTGGTCCCAAAACCGAGCAATGTTTGCCTACTCCACCACACCTCAGGGTCAAACATTTGGAAAACGACACTGCGCGAGATCGAAGCTTTAGTGGGAATTCCACCACAGTCTTCGTGTAGCCCTGACTTAGCTCTTTCCGACAACCATCCAAACTAATCCCACAGCGGCCATCTTCTTGGTAAAAAATACGATTTTTGATAGTACCTCGAAAATGACCCAGCTGCCTTTCTGGCCAAGAAATAAGTAGGCCTTTCTGAAGCAGGGCAACCACACATTGCGTAGTGATTGGCAACAAGTTGCCAATGAAGGTGACATACATATAGCTGATCAAAATTGCTTCCCACTGGAATAAACTTAATTCGGAAAAAAGTCTGAAAGTGTCCCAGAACTTTTGGGACAACCTAATAAAAGTGCGGCGTAGTTTGGCGATGGGGAGGAACATTTTTCACTTTTGCTACTTCCCATGGACGTGTCGACCTATCTAGACAGCCTCTTCTCGAGTTGACGGGTTCCAACATGATGGCTTCATAACCTTGCTTGCAAGGCTTCACAAAAGTTTACAGGTTTTCGCCAGAGCGAGACTTGTAAACCGGAACTAAGGACGCAATGATAGTGCAAAATACCCCCCCCGCCCCCTCGTCGTCGCCAAATAGCGCCCGAAATTCGCACCAAACACCAGATCAACCCCTCTGAACCCACAGTTTTCGCACTTTTACCTTGCTTCTTCTTCTGAATGCAGAACAGTCAGAGACGATTTCCTCGAAGATTCCTTCTCAGTCATCAGCTCATGTGTGTTTTCAGTTTTTTCTTAAAGGCCAGTTGGCACGATAAATCTCTAAAGACGAGTAGGATTGATACGCTTGGCAGGGCGGAATTCCGCGACCCTGAGCAGGCGCTGCGCACCGGGTTTGAAGGTACCCTTGTAAGGTTCCTCTCAGGCTACAACATACCGACCCAAACGCCCACCGCGCCCGCCCGCCCAACAGGACATGGACTGACGTACATGCGCACTGTCTCCTGGTGAGCTTTGTTTGCGAAGTTCAATATGCAGGGGCGAAGGGATTGTATGAAACTGGAAACTGGGAACTCGTCCGAAAATGCTTTGGAACCTACAGGCTCTTTCTATCGCAAGTTTTTTGACCGTTCCGTTCGTGTTTTTCGCTCATAGTTGCAATAGATAAGCGCCCTTGCTAGCATTTGAAGGCTGAGTAGGAAATACTATCCGGTGCCCAACCAGTGCGTTACGAATGAAACGATGAGAGTCTCACGCAGCGCTATGGCGTGATACTACAGTACTTGGAAGCGCAGTCTCCTCTCCTGTGATTTAGGCGAGATGCCCCGCCCATCAATACAGTCCTTGGACTGCTGTACGCAATTTGGGCAGTAGCAAGCTGGGAACATGAATTGGCTCGTAAATATGTTGATCTTACGTTTACAGATTTTGGCTTAACGTAGGGATGAGCGAAGTCGTTGTAGAGAGTGTTATTGAACTTTCATATTGATAGTTTTTGTTCATCAGGAATTATTGCTTTTGAAATTGTTGGTATGTTATGGTGAAGGTGCTAACCCTGCTTCAGCTTAACTCCGTGTTCATATCCAATGGAAATGCCGCTGAACTGGAACATGTCAAGGTAAAGTTGCCGTATTAATTTTTGCGCGGTAAGCATGTATGGATTGAGGTTCTACGATTAGATCGTAAGTGTGTACGGCCAAGGTTCTCAAGGGGAAGCTACCCAATGATCGGGCCACCTCGAACTGATCACTTTTCTTTTCGTTAGCAGCTGTTTTCCTTTTGATAATATAGTCATGAGTCACTGAACACCCGTTATTACAGAGCGTAATAAGTCGAAAACTCGCACAAATACTTGGTGAGGATTTTGACGAAGGGAGGATATTGGTTCTGGTGAGTAAGCTTTTATAGTTATCGACTGATCACTTACTCAAAGACAAACTATACATCCAGCTTCGTGGGTACCACTTGGCATTGTGAGGAGCACGAGCACTGGCTCGAAGCTACAGAATCGTGCCACGTTTGCCTGTTAAAGGTGCATGGGGTCAGGTGAGGGTACTGGCACCGTCTCCATAGTAGGTACGACTTCCCTTTCGAAGGAGGCTGTCAGTACGACCCCTCTCCAAACGACGCAATTCGACCGCCCCACCACCCTCCCACAGCGGAAAAGTGCCGATTGGCCATGTGTTTTCACAAAACGATGCCTGTACCCTGGCTGCTAACATTCGCCTTGCACATTGCAAGAATCCTTCCAGTTGAGTATACAGTTTCGTCTTCAAGGAGCAAAAACTTTCTGGTGAGGTTATTTGGAAAATCTTTGAAGGCGCGAGAGATGCACCGTGGACTCGACGGCAAGTCACATCCGATGTCGCGAGTACTACTGTATGACAACAAGAGGAGAAGGAATTCCTGATGCCATATAACGTGGATAAGGATGGGTTTGAGTTATACTTTTGTGGAAGTTTCTACCGAATTTCAATGAATGATTCTCGCGACTTTAGCAGAGAAGAGTGGTTCTTTGTGATTCCTCCTTTCGTTTCTTGTTTTCCTTCTTTTTTCGTGGAAGCCTGTCATACGATCTTTCCTACCTCTTTCCTTTCTATTTTATCGGCTGCCGCTCATCTTTTGTTTTTTGTTACTGCATACCGGCATTTTCATCTTTTATATATGCTATAAAAAGCAATCATCCTCTACCTTTTGTAGATATTTTTTTCTATCGTCTGTTCTTACCACATCAACTGAATCTTTCAGCTTCGACTCAAAACCCCTCAAGAGGCGACAATTTGGTCTATCTGCCTCTATGTTTCTCGTTCAATGTCTGAAGATGAGCGAATAAGAGTTAGTGATGCATCAATCAAGTCGTAGTACCGTATATTTCTTGTCTCAATATCCCTCAAGATACTTTGAGCCTCTGCCATTTCCGGTAGATCAGAGTTCGCTATCTGAAACTTCTCAGGGTGAGAAAAAAATGACTGATAGAGAATTCGGCATTTAGCTGAGAGCTGTTTTGGTGTAATGGTTTATGTTCCTACAATTAGGACTACACGAATTGATGCTTACATCTCTCAGGATGCCATCGCTTGTTCTCAGATACGCTCCAAGGTTCTGTGTGACTTCTGATAGGGAATAGGAAGAGACCGTCATCGCCCATGTAACTCAAATGCTTGTCGGCCAGCACCATTGCTCTTACAACCCTGAAAAATTAGAATTATTGGGAACGATGAGGAGCTCTTTGGTTGGTTGAGAGATTCACATTGTGAACAACCGGAGAAAGAGGCAAAGAGAATAGGTGCGCGGCACCCGCACCACGAGCTAAGTGATTTCTTGTAGAACATGTGTAGTACATCGAATCAGCTAGTTAGAAAATAGTAGCTGGTCGATGAATTTCGACCCCTACCAACCCTTGTTCTTTTAACAGTACTAACATCGCCTCTATTGCACTGACAACCCGATGCTGGTAGAGGAGGTTGTGTAGCATTTGACGTGAGTCACCCACTGATAGAGCGATATCCGCGACCTGTAAATTATAGAATAAAAACGAGCATTAAAGGGGCTACTGCGACACACTGACACTCTTTCCGTGAATCCTCGTTTTTGGTGTGTGGGGGAAATGCGTCCACAGTAGCGCGCCTACTTTGTCCGCCTAAAAGTGCACGGGAACAAGGCTGGAGGGTAGTGGTACCCGTGTGCCGTCTCTATACTTCGCCCGCACTGCTGTACGGCCAGCCACACGCCTACCTATAACCAGACGCTCCACTTGCCTGCTCTCTCTGATTTCTGGTTTACCGTTGCGAACGCGATCGCTGCAAGACCTTGCTATCGACGCAAGTGCTGCTTC